CCCCCAGGACGCCCCCCGCCGGCCCAGGCCACATCACAGTAGCGGGGGCTGCCAAAGGCTGCTCAGTCCCCTTAACCCACTTGGGGGGACAGTGGGGTTCGCCCTGATGTGAAGGACACTACACCACTGGGTGGAGACATGTGGCTAACTGCACTGAGGGAATCCACAGGGCTTTGTGACCTATTTGAGAAATGGATTCAGACCAATTTAGGGCACCTCTGAGAGGCTGGACTCCAGTGGCCTCCTGGGCACGAGGGCTCATCGGGGTGCCCGCTGCTGCCCTCCGGAAGGGAGCGGAAGAAAAGCAGCCTGGAACCCCCGAGGGCTCCCCACCTCGGGCTCTCACAGCTGTCTCCGCTTGGGGGTGGGGTGGGAACGTTAACACACCACGTCAACCTCTGCAGATGCCGCGTGTCACCGCCGGACCTGAGCAGGCAGCAGGAGCGTGGCCACGCCGAGGTGGCAGCAACAGGCGTGCTAGGGCCACTGAGGCTGTGGGAGGGACTCCCGGGGTCTCAAGGAAAGTGGGGCAGCTCAGAGCCCTCCTCAGGGTGACCGGCCCCAGCAGGAGGAAGGCGTCTCCCAGACACCAGCGAGCGTGACGCAGTGACGTGGCCTGACCAGCTCCCTGCTGAACCCAGAAAGGTACGCGGGGCTGCAGGCTCAGAGCTAGCGAGCCAGCGTCCACGCTGAGCCGTGCTGTGTGACCGTGGGCAGGTCACTTCACTTCTCTGAGTCTCGGCACCCAAGCCTGCGCAGTGGGCTCCCTCCACACGTGTGCTCGCGAGCAGTTGCCGGGCCGGTTCTGTGCAGCGCCGGGCAGCAGGTGCGTGGGCCCTGCTGGCTGCAGGTACTTGAGGCCTGCCTCTGTGGACACACGCGAGGCCACCACGCGGCCTGCTGCCTGCCATTTCCTCTCACTACTGTGCCTCGGACACGGCACCTCTCTCAGTCTCTTTTCCACCATGTGCTTTAGCGTCCTGGAAACCCTGCGTCAACTGCACGGATGGTTAAGTCGGCACCCAAGCCGGAACCATGCCCCAGAGCGCGGCGGCAGCCGCACTGCCACACGCTAAGGCCGGCCCCAGGCCAGCAGCTCGTCTGCAATGGCCGCACTTCCTTTGCCTGACGCCCTCCGCACCCCTCCCCGCCCCCAGCAGTGTCCCTGTCCTGGGCTGTGTGTCTCGGCCTTACTCCACCAGAGGCTAACAGGAGCATTTGTGGTGTCGACAGCATGACACGGGTCGTCCACACTCGCCAAACTGCCGTCACGCAGCAGCCAACACTGGTCGTAGCCTGTTCAGGAACTTGACCATAAACCCTGCAAAAGGCCTGTTCACCAGGTAACACACTGACACTTCCTAATTTCAGATTAAGTTCACGGTGAGTGACCCAGCACTTCCACAACACGCAGTTTCTGAACAGAACTGAAAGAGGTCGGCGCCAGGGCCAGGGCCTGGCTGCCCGGTGATGCGACTAGAAACCGCTAACAGGGACCGACAGCTTATTCCTGATTTCGTGTCACTTGACATCGCGGGCCCTCCAGCACGAGGCACGCTTATGGAGCGTTTCCTCCAGGAACGGCCACAGCAAGGCCGTGTCAGTCCAACAATTCATTCTCGACAGACACCTGTGGAGTGAGCTAAACCCTGGAGCCAGGGCCAAGCAGCCCCAGACACCATCCCAGTGGCTGTGCTGGGTGGCACAGAGGGATCCCGTGTCACCGACGATAGCAGCAGCTAGCACCAGGCACCCATACCCACGGGCACCTTAAAGCTCTGTGCAGGATGGACTTCTCCCTCTAATGGACACACAGGGGTCACCGGTCCAGCCCTTTACTCCACGGATGAGGAAGCCCAGGGTCAGGACTAATCCACCCAGGGCCTGGGAGGAGGGAGTGGGGGGCTGCAGGCACTCAGCGCCCTCCCCCCACATACACACAGCCAGGCTTGTGCACACTCCTGACCATGCAAGGGACCACTTGGTGACCCACTGTCCCATCCCCACCCCTGTCCAACTCAACCCACATCTTCCTGGGACACTGTGTGTGCAGGGTTCTTGGCTAAGCAGTGCTCCAAGTGAGCCTTCCTGTCCTGAGGTTACAGACGTCAGCCCAGACTCCACCTGCGCCTGCCGCCCACGCGAGGTCAGCCCAGACTCCACCCGCGCCTGCCGCCCACGCGAGGTCAGCCCAGACTCCACCCGCGCCTGCCGCCCACGAGACCTCAGCCCAGACTCCACCCGCCCCTGCCACCCACACGATGTCAGCCCAGACTCCATCCCCACCTGCCGCCCACGCGACTTCAGCCCAGACTCCACCCGCGCCTGCCGCCCACGCGGGCCGGTGACCCGGAAGCACTCTCACCTGCTTGCGTGCTGTCTCCCGAGTCACGGTGAATCTTGTGAATCTAAAGTCCAAAGTTTGATAAAACGAGAGAGAGATTTAAGTAGGACACCTGCTGTATTTCACCAACAACTCAGTCTGAAAGCTCTGATGCCGCAAGGAAGCGAGAAGCTGCACACACAGGCGGGACGGGAGCCGCACACCGGGGACATCGCGGACGCCCTGCGAGGTCGGGACGCACACGTGCAGGGCTGCGCCCGTGTCCAGGAGACACACGTGGGGGACATCACGGACGCCCTGCAACATTGGGATGCACACGTGCAGGGCTGCGCCCGCGTCCAGGGGACACACGTGGGGGACATCGCAGATGCCCTGCGACGTCGGGACGCACACGTGCAGGACTGAGCCCGCGTCCAGGGGACACACGTGGGGGACATCGCGGACGCCCTGCGACGTCGGGACGCACACGTGCAGGACTGAGCCCGTGTCCAGGGGACACACATGGGGGACATCGCGGACGCCCTGTGACGTCGGGACGCACACGTGCAGGGCTGCGCCCGCGTCCAGGGGACACATGGGGGGGGACATCGCGGACGCCCTGCGACGTCGGGACGCACACGTGCAGGGCTGCGCCCGCGTCCAGGAGACACACGTGGGGGACATCGCGGACGCCCTGCAACATTGGGATGCACACGTGCAGGACTGAGCCCGCGTCCAGGGGACACACACCGGGGACATCGCGGACGCCCTGCGACGTCGGGACGCACACGTGCAGGGCTGCGCCCATGTCCAGGAGACACACGTGGGGGATATCACGGACGCCCTGCGACATTGGGACGCACACGTGCAGGGCTGCGCCCGCGTCCAGGCAGGACCTGGATCCCGCATCTGTCGGCCTCACGTTTGGGCTGCAGAGATGCCCAAATGCACAAGTACACCGTACAACAAGCCTGTGTGTTTCAGGAGGGTTATGAGTTTTTCTCCGATACTAAGCAATCTGAATTTAAGCCCAGGGTTTTGAGAAACCCTCAACAGTCCTTCGAACGCTCAATTACAGGCGGAGCTAACCTGTGAACCGTGTGTGCTCACAGCGCGGTCTCAGCTCGAGGTGTTGTTCTGCACCTCGCTCTTTCTCATGTTCAGGAATTGTTTTGCCAACGATTTTGCGCTGAGTAACTCACACGGGGAAATCAAGTCCCTGGCCCCAGCGATGAAGGGCGCGCTCGCTCTGGGGTTCTGCACGCCCGTGTTTCTGACTGACCCAGACGCTGTGCCGGTGCATCAGTCCCACCGCTCTCACCATCAGGCGGCGCTGCTGCTACACCCACCTCCCACGAGGAGCTCAGCTGATGACCCCTGGCAGCCACTGGGCGCACGGGCTGGTGGGGGTGTGCGCGCGCTCCAGGGCGCGGAAGGCCAGCTCTAACAGCCACAGGCCCCACGCAGCAGGTGCCGGCACAGCGCTCCGCCGGGCTGGGCCACCGGGACGCCGTCTTGTGCAAGAGCAGGGTTCCAGGCGGGCCTCCTCTGCCGGTTCTGCGCAGTCTCTCCACGCAATGACACCAGCGATTCCCCGGCCGACGGGGTGACCGACTGGGCTGCTAATGCATCCCACGAGTACGGCACTGTTTTAAAGAAAGATGTTTTGAAAGGCAGAGTGACAGAGGGAGGAGGACCCCCACACAGGAGATGCGTCCTTTCCCCAGCGCCTGTCCCAGCTGGGGTCACCCGCCTGCAAGCCAGGCGCTCTAGGTGGGCTGCCCAGGAGAGCGGCGGGGGTCTAAGCACCTGGCCACTCGCTGCTGCCTCCCAAGCGCGCGAGCAGGGAGCCGGGTCAGCAGGGGGGCTGCCCGGATGAGGGTGTCCCTAGCAGGCCGCCTACAATGCCCAGTACTCGGCAACTTGGTTTCTCTCCTGAACCGTGAGGACCATTGGCCACGGAGCTCGGTGAAGCACCCTCAGGGCGCACACAGTGAAACGCCTCACTGGCGGTTTTCTCCAGCCCTTGGTCAAGACCAAGTGGTAGCTTCAGACTGAGCTGGGGGCGGGCGGTGGTGCAGGGGTCCAGCTGCCGGGTGGAAACCCGGGGCCCCGTCAGCGCGCCGGGGTCCCAGTCCCACTCCGCGGGCTGCCTTCCTGCGGACGCGCACCCTGGGAGGCAGCCGAGGATGGCGCCGGCACTCGGGTCCGGCCGCCACGCGTGGGTACCCACGGGGAGCCCGCACTTCCGGCCGCTGCGCAAGGTGGAGAGGGAACCCGCGGGCAGGCGCCCTCTTCGCCTCTCGGCTGAAGGCTCGGCTTTCCTCTCTGGGCCCCAGCACCCAGGGGCACAGCCCTGCGGCCTCCGCGCTGTAAAACCAGCCAAGCCCTCGCCGCGTCTCCCACGACCCGAGGGGCCGCTGCGACTGCAGCCGGGCTGCGAGCTCCGTCCCCCGTGCAAGCCACCCGGCCGTCGGCCGACACGGACGGCGCGGCCCAGGGGCGGCCGGGGCCGCTGGGCGGCCCAGGGGTCGGGCCCGGCACCGCCTGTGGTGAATGCGCTGTCCCCACGTGGGCCAGGCCGCGGCCGCCAAGTGCACAGCGCCGCCTTCCTCACGCAGCCGGGCCCCGCGCCCAGCCCCGAGCGGAAGCGCCGCTGCCCCGACCTGCGCGCGCAGATCTGCGCAGGCGCGGCTCGCGCAGCGGCACCGGTTTCTAACCCGCCCGCCCGTCACTCAGGCGGCGGCAGGAGAGGAACCGGGACCGGGACTGGGACCGGGACCGCACGGGCCGAGCGCTTCTGCAGGGGCGCCCTCCACGCCGCCCCGAGGTCAAGCACCGCCCAAGCCCCGGGCTCCCTAAGGGCTCGCAGGCCGCACACGCGTCTGAGGCGCCGCTCTCCTCGGGGCCTCGCGGACGCTGGACGTGTCGCCCACGGCTTCGGCACGCGCGTGTCGGAACCCCACGGCCCGGCCCGCGCCCGCCCCAGCGCCGCGTGTTTGGCTCCTGTAGAAGGTTAGCGGTGTGGGCCGTCTTCGCGCGCGGCAGGGCTGGGCTGCAGGGCCGTGGCCAGAGCTCGCAGCTCGCGGGTATCCACGCGTGGCGGCCGGACCCGAGTGCCGGCGCCATCCTCGGCTGCCTCCCAGGGTGCGCGTCCGCAGGAAGGCAGCCCGGGGAGTGGCACTGGAACCCCGGCGCGCTGACGGGGCCCGGGTGTCCACCCAGCAGCTGGACCCCTGCACCACCGCCCGCCCCCAGCTCAGTCTGAAGCTACCACTTGGTCTTGACCAAGAGCTACAGAAGACCGCAGGAACTATCACAACCGCCACCACAGAAGTGCAGAGGACCACTAGGGACCAGCACGACGATACGCCAACCGACGACAAGCCTAGAGGAAGTGAATAGAATTCTGGACACGTGCAATTTCCCAAAACTGAACCATGGAGGCAGAAAATCTGAGAAAGTCAACAACAAGTAATGGGATTAGATGCCTGAGAAGCCTCCCTATAAAGCAAGCACAGAACCAGCAGGCTTCATTGCTGAACTCAACCAACTAACACCACTTCTCCAACTGCAGTGTAGGATGGGGCTGGAAAAGGGGCGGGGTAGTTTGAGAAATACATAGTCTGAGAAGACCAGAGAGCAACATCCCTGATGAACACAGATGGAAAAATTCTCACCAAAATACTAGCAGTCAAATCCAAGAGAACATAAAAATCCATTTGCAAACCAGTAAATGTAATACATTAACAGCATGAGGGACAAGAGCCACACGATATCACCTCAGCAGGCACGAAGACATTTAAAAAAATTCAATATTCACAAAAACCAGGAAGAACTCAGGGATGGAAGGGACACACCTCAACATAATGCAGGCCAGACGTGCCACAGCCACATCCAAGATCATACAGCATGGGGAAATCTGAGAGCATTCCCTTTAAAGTCTAGAACCAGACCAAGATATCCGCTGTCACTGTGTTACTCAGTGTAGCACTGAGGCTTCAGCCAGGGGTAGGCATGGTAAAGAAATAAGGACAGAAGTCAAATTTCCCTGTTTGCAATGACATAATTCTATAGAGAGAAAAATCTAAAGACTTCAACAAAACACTGTTAGCACTGATAAGCTCAGTAAAACTGCGGGATAAAAAAATCAATGGCATTTTTATCTGCTAATAATGAACTCACAGAGAAATAAACTGCAAGAGCAATCTTACAATGCCTAGAAAAAAAACTCCTTAGAATAAATCTAACCAAGGATGTGAGACATCTGTAATGAGCATTACTGAATAGTGATGAAAGAAATGGAAAACACCACAAAAAAACAGGTTCATGGATTGAAGAATTCGTATTAAGACATCCATACTACCCAAAGTGATTTACAGGTTCAACACAATCACCGTCAAAATACAAATGACATTCCCCCACAGAACCAGAAAAAGCAATCACACAATTCACACGGAAGCGCAGAAGGACCCTAAACAGCAAAGCCACGTGGAACACCACCAAAGCTGGCACGTCACAGCACCTGGTTTAACGCCTCGTACAGAGCTAACATACACAGCACAGCTCGGCACGCACATAAAACCACCACAAGGACAAACAGAGCCTGACAGAGACCAAGACGTTCCTCTGGTTCATTCTCAACACAGGTGACAAAACACACCAGAGAAAGGACGGCCCTGTCCATGTAAGATGCTGGGAAACTGGATTCCTACACACAAGAGGCTGAAATTTAATCTTTCCCTCTCATGCCATGCGAAAAAAACAACCCCAAGTAGATCCATGATCTGAATTTAACAGCTGAACCTACAAAACTGCTGGCAGAAAACATAGGGCATAGGGGAGACGCTTCAAGACATCAGTACAGGCAAGGATTTTTTTCCCTTTGCTAAGATCACAAAAGCCCAGGCAGCAAAAGCCAAATCAGACGGGGTTCTATCAAAGGAAGAAGCTTCTGCTTGGCAAAGGCAGTCAGCAGTGCAGAGAAACTGACACAGTGGGAGCCAGCGTCTGTAAACGCTCATCTGGCGGAGGGCTAATATCTAGAATACCTAAGGAGCTACAACACGCAGTTAAAACAAAACG